AAACTAAAATTAATTGATCATTTATTTTTTTTTTACTATTTTTTATAAGTTACAGATTATGGCTGAAATTTATTTTGTTTTTTATATAATTGATTACAAATTATTTAGACTATTATTATAATATATTTGATATAAAAATATTTCTTTTCTTAATATGTAATAAGACTGGTTTTTTTATTAGTAAATTTTTTATTTATTTTATACTAATATGAAAAATAAATAAAAAATATCCAAATACTATCCCTTAAATGATAATTATTTTCATTCAAATTTAGTCATGATTTTCAATCAATAATTATGCAAAATTTTACATAAAAACTTACAATTTTTTTTTAATTTTTAGATAAATATATTATAAAATTTATTATAAATCTACTATTTTTAAATAAAATTTCATTTTTAATAATTAAAATATTAAATATTTACAAAATTTACAACTTTAAATTTATATTTTTTTATAAATAAATAATATTTAAATATATAAATAAGTGTTTTAAATATAAATTTGTATATTTTGTAAAGTTTTTTTAATATTATAAAAATAAATAATAATTAAAAATTTTAGCTTTTATAAAGAAAATACTTTTATTAAAACTTCTAACTTAAATTAATGCAAAAAGTTACTAATTAATATAATTTTTTTTTTTGATTTTACTTAATAAACATCATAAATTTTATTATAATAATATTATTAGTTTAATAACTAATTTGCAATATATTTAAAATTAACTTTAAAGTGTAAGTAAAATTTCTTCTAAATTTAGAAGGAAAACTATTGAAAGAATTAAAGATGGAACTGTAATTAATATGTTGCAACTTTTAATGTTGCAACTTACGTTGCAATTAGTTTTAACCTATATATGTTGCAACTAATTTTAGCTTATGTTGCAACATTTTGTAAATTTGAAATCAATTGCTGTACCATCATTAGAAAGAATTATACTCTGAATCATTTAAGATAAAAAGAACAAAAATTACTATTATTTATTATTTAGAAACTAACAAATTATTAAAATGCATTTTTTAATAATATTAAATTTTTTTTTAATAAAATGAATAAGTTTATTATATAAAATAAAAAAACATTTATTTATTTATAGTAAATAAAATTATAAGAAAACATTATTTTGTACGAGATGGATGAATTTTAGATTTTTTAATATAAATATAATTTTATAAGTTAGTTCTTTAAGTTCTTTAATAATTTATTTAGAAATTTCTTTAGAAATTTCTATTGAAGTTTTAGCTTCTATAAATATATTTCATATAATATCTAATAATTTTGTCAATTTAGTTAACTAAAATATCATTTTTTATTTCTTATTTTTCTAATACATGTTAATACATGTATAAAATGCTATTACTCTTAAATCTGTTATAAATTGTTAATTTTGTAGTTATCATATTTGATAACGTTAATAGTGATAATAATGATAATTATGATAATGATATAGAAGATTAAAGTATTTCTTTTGTAGATTTGATCTAAAGGTTAATTGATATTGAGTATGTAAAAAACTAAAGTTATGTAATTCCAAATAAAGTTTTTCTTCAATTGATATTAAGATACTTAAAACAAAATTCTTTTAATTGGACGTTAAAATATTTGAAACAAAAATTAAAGACCTATGTTTAAGGTTGCTTGTCTAAACTTATTTTGGAATTGGCTAAAGTCTAAACCTTTAATTTTGCTAAATTTTTACTAAGTGTTTGATATAATTTCACCATTTTTATAAGCTTTGATATAGTTTTAACTTTTTATAAATTTTGCAGATTTTTTAATAAGATTTTAATATGATTTAACCAAATTTTACTTTTACCATTTAGAAGTCTGTCTAAACTTTAGATTTCGTCTAGCTACCTTACTCATGTTTTAACATCATTATTTGATTTTTTAAATGGTTTTCATTTGAATAAAATATTATTATTGAATTTTATTTGACTTATCTTTAGCCATATAATCTAAAATAATACATTCAAATTGTATATCAAAATTTGTAAGAAATAATGAATCTGAAACTAAAGCTGTTCCTATAATATTTATTTAATAAACAGGTAAATCTTCTGGTTTAATATTTAAGATCATAGCAGAAGTTAAAATTAATTGTTTTTAAAAAATAATTTTATTAATTATTATTTAATTATAATTTAACTAATAAAAATAAACAAAATAAATAGAATTACTTACATCATTTTGATTATCAGAAGATCTAATAATAAATTTTGAGTTTGTAATAGATAAAACTTGTTCTTTCTTTAATTTTGAAATATAACAAGATTTTTCTTTGTTAAAAAAGTAAAATATTGAAGGTCTGAATAGCATCTGAATTTTTTAAGTCTTATGTATTCAATAATTATTTCTATAAATAAAATAAGTAAATGAATAATAAAAAATCTTTGGAACCGTTATGAGTTGCAAAATAAATAAATAAATAAAAAATTATATATAACATAATACAGTCAGACTTGTTTATAATCATCACATTTGGTCGCATAAGCATGGGGAACATTTCTAATTTAGTAACGATTTTTCGATCATTGCCGATCATCGCTGATCATTATTTTTTAATTAAATGATATGTGAAAAATAAAAAAAAAATATTAAAAATATGAAAATTATAACAATAAGATCAATAGATATGATGTTTATTTAAACCAAATGTTCATAAAAATTAAAATAAAGATAAAGAATGAAAGAATTTTTCTTGTGCCAATATGTTTTCACTTATTTCATCTTCAAACATATCATTATCTTCATCTGTAATCCCATCATCATCTTCTTCCAAAATAAGTGAATCTTCCGATATTCCTTTTGATAATCTATCTATAAAACTTTGAGAAAGTTTTTTAATTCCATCACAAAAATAATGTGTATAAGGTAAACATATGAAATTTAAAGTTTTTAAACAATCACTATGATATGCATGACCACAGATTAAAACCTGCCGTGAACTTTCTGTGTTAGATAAAATTGAACATTGATCATAATCACAGAATTTTTCAGAAGGAGAAGGTTGATCTGAATTATATTCAATAGGAAAAAGCATAACATCTACTTTTGTATTTAAGGTAACAAAAAAATACTGTGAATATTTTAATCTCCTTCTTCCTGTATTGTATTCAATAATATAACTTTTGTTTTGATTATTATATAATTGAGAAAAAAATTTTAATAAAAAATCTCCTGTAAGAAAAATCAAATTCTGTAATATTTTTTCCTTCCATGAATATTGCTCTTTCTGAACATAAGAATTACTAAAATTATTTTCTTTACATAAAGCATCTATAACAAATGCATCTTTTCAGAATCCTTCATGATTTAATATTTTGTGTGATGTTTGTCTTCGTAAACTAGAATGAAAATTTTCCACAAAATATTCATTAAGAAATGGAAGATTATTTCGCATAGATTCAAAAAGAGGATGACCAATAGTTTTCCAATAAATAATATCTGAAAGAAAAATCAAAGGTGTTTTGTCATAGTTTTTGCGTCTCATTCTTCGAAAAAGACACCATACACGAAATATAGATTCAATATAATAATCAAAAACCCTTCACGAAAAAGATTTGCATAAATTTCAAGCATTAAAGGAATAAGATTATCCAATAAATCAATAAAAGTACGATATTCTAAATCCTTTGAAGTTTGAAATTTTTGAATAACTTTAGTTTTAATTAAAAGCCAAGCAGAATAAGTAATATGCAAAATTAAGTTGATTCTTCAAGGTTTTGGTTTAGCAGCTAGTTTTTTCCGTTGTCCCATTACTGCTTTCCAAAGTTCATAACAAGAATTTCACGACTATTCAATGAAATGTGAAGAGGACCTAACATAGGAATAATCCCTAAAATTTCATTAGGTATGTTGTTATTTCCTTTTAATTTTTGAATGATAGCAGTTCGTATATATACTTGTCCTGGAAAATCCGCAGGAACTGGAATCACATTTTGTTGTAAATAATCTTTAATCGGAGTAATATTAAATAAAATTTGAAGAGCTTCAAGATATTGTTTAGTTGATTTAAGATCCAATGGAATTAAGTCAACAAGTGTAACATATTTTATAGAACGTTGATTTTTTGTAGAATTAATTTGAGAATCATGTTAACCAATCCTCTAAATCCGTTGGATTCATTTTTGTTATATCCGGAACATCATACCAGAATAAACGTCGATCAGTGTAACTAAAACTAAAATGTGACATATATTGATAAGTTAAAGTATCACTAAAGCATTAATATTAATTATTAAAGGATTATGAATGTGTAAATTTTCATTGGTAATTTGTTTAATTGCAGGAATTGGCGGTATATTAACAATAATAGTAGCCATATGGGAAATATAATGAAGAGATGTTGTAGCAGGATGGCGAGCTTCATGAATGTCATGATAATCATCTACATTTAAAACCCATATTTGATAAAGTATCAATGCCTTTTTTCGATAGTCCCGAATGTTGAAAAAATAAACCAGCATCGCGTTTAAGTAAAGTTATTTGTTTGTTACGAAGAGAAGCAAGCTGATAACAAAGAACTACAATTCGGTTTTTACTAGTAGCATTGGTTTTTTCACATTTTCCAGTTGGATTTGTTGATTGATATAACATATCAAAAAATTGGCGTAGCTCAGATGCTTGAGAAGCAATAATATTAAGAAATTCCTCAGGATCATAAATCCCATTGCTATTTTCGCGATGTTGAAGTCGATACAAAATGTCCGTCATTTTCTTAATACAATTTTGAAATAATGGAGAAAAAATTGATATATCTAAAAAAAAAAAAAATCAAAAAAAAATAAATTTATTTTTATTAATTTTAAAATATATTAAAAAAAATACATTGTAAAATAAAACTAGCTTTTCTAATTCTAAAAATTAAATTAAATTTAAACGATCATTATAGCTTCTTCGTAAAAAAAATAGAAAAATTAATTCTAATAGTAAAATACTTCTAAATACCTCCCAATTTTCCATCATAAATTATTATACCTGCATTATTTAAATA